TTTTTTGGATCTAGATGGCCTTTTGGTATAAGGTGGCAAGATGAACAAGTAGACTCCCCAATTAGAGCTTTTATACTCCAAGTTACTAGTATAAAAACTAAAAGCAGCTGGTATATACAAAAAAAGTCACATCTTCATGGTGAAAATGAAAAAGCAGAAGACTTGGTTTGGAGTAATTGTTGGGGAAGATTTAAAGAGTACAGAGGCATGAGATGCAACTCAATGGAAAAAAGTCTCAGATTAGTGGGCTATGTCAAAAATTTGTCATGAACACTCCCAACGAAAAGTGTTCTATACAAGAGAAGTCCCTCCGTGTATCTAGATCCTATTTGCGTTCTGTGTAAAGATAATAAAGAGGAAAATGCAGATCACCTCATGCAGTGTCAGGTACTAAATGAAACATAGGTAGAAATCGAAAAGTTTAGCATCAGCTTAGCTTGGGCATCAATGGAGAAAATTTATAGAGTAGCTTTAACAGTTCAAAATTTGTGAAGAGCAATTCTTGGTTCATCGCTAGTGGAAAGAGTCAAGGCGCATAGTCTTTTATCAAAGGGCCTTTTTAAATGCAGCACACTTTCATGATTAAGTAATATTTTAAAGAACGAAGCTGTAGCTCTAGAAACTCTAACAGCAGCTAGCTTTGGTATACAAGAATGCTTTCATAGATTGATATAGAGCAATAGATATAGAAAATTCATCGCATAGGAAAAAGAAAATAATATTGGTGCTGAGAAAAAATGACCTAAGAAAAGTGAAGAAAAGAAAAGGCCTCATGAAAAGGAGAATATCACACCTGGTCCGAGTAGCGACGCTGCGAACCAACCTAGAATGAATAAGCAAATAAAGTTGGTAGGGATGGATCAATTGGTAGATTCAGAAGTAAGACATTTGTTAGAGGTTGCGGTAAGACAGAGAATTTTAAGTTCTTACCCACCGAGTTGGTGGAATAAAAGTTTGTAAATATTCAATGGGAGCTGAGCCCAGGCTAGACCATATCTTTAAATGTGTCACAACGTATGTAGGATAAGGTGACCAACATCAGTGTAGTAGCCAAACTTGGGCATCTCGAAGGGACAGCCGGGTTTTAGTCTAATTAGATTATTAAATAGCTTAATGTGTTTTAAGTAGTAAATATTTAATAAAATTTTAGTACGTGGTTATCAAAGGAAAAAAAAAAAAAAAAATATTTAACTCAAATTTATTGTAAGTAAAGACCTACACATTAACCTATGAATATTGCAAATTATTGTAAAACATGATATTTATTATTATTAAATAAAAGATATATATTTTAAAAATTAGACCTTTATAAATAAATAATTTTAAGTTGGAACCTCATTTATAATTATTTGTAAATTTGGATCCTGATGTGTAAATTCCTCTAAATAAAATAATTTTGATTAATAAAATAAACAAATACATGAAAATAACATTTATAAAACATGTTCAATTTATAGAATTGATAGTGATTTATTTTATATATCAATAATCAAATTTGCATATTTTTATATAAATACTTTATGTTCATTTTTCAACACCAATTCAACTAGCATCGCTTTGTGTTTTTCAATTCTGATTCCACTAGCATTTCTAGCTCTAATTCTACTAGCATTTTCATTGCGATTAATTAATAGATGCATTATGTTCACTTTTTTTAATACCGATTTCTTTTTCATAACACACTAAGCAAATTTGTTCTTGTATTATTATTCATAATGACAAATTATTAATATCGAATAATTACCTTATGTTTACCATCTGTATCACCTATTTGGTATATTAGTGAATATATATATACTCATCCTTTTAACCTAACTTCTAAATATCTCCTATTAGAATCAATTAACTATTGCTTTATATTTTCAACTAATTCTATTAGTTTTTTAAATTTTGAGTACCTTATGCTTATCACTTCAACTTAAATTTTAGCATTTCTTATTTTAGCAGTATTATTAATACCTTATATTCATCAATTCTACTAGTTTTCTTTTTAAATATCTTATCCATTTGAAGTTAGTTCTAAATCAAAATACAGTAATATTTCTAAGGAAGGAAGAAAAAGTGATTCTAAAGACTATTTGGCCATTTCATCATCAGCAGGGTGTTTTTCTTATCCCTCTAAACTAAAATCTGTATTCCATTCACTTGATAATAAAATTTCATTATCTTTGTTCTCAAATTGGTTTTCACGATCTCCTAACTCAATCTATTCATTAATCAGGCTTTTCCACATTTGTTCTTCTTTCAAAACTAAATCTTCATTCTCTCGAAATTTTGATTAATCCGATTATGATATCTGGTAGTTGTTTCTTTTTCATTACTATTATTGTTACTTACTTGATAATCTAAATCTGTGAACACTAATTCTTGTTTATTAGCTTCTTCATCTGACAATATAGGTGCTGCAATATGTAAACGTTGAGCTTGGTTATCATATTCTCTTGCACTTTTTATTTTACAAGACCAAAGAATATCACTTCGAATTTGGCTCATTGCCAAAACTTTATTTTGCTATAATATTAGTTATAACAAATATTAATATTAATTATAATAAATAAATCAATAAATTGCTAAACAGACCTGCAACCGAACTTGACGATTAGTGTATATTAACTCCATAGAAGACCACAAATGCTCTACAGATACAGAGTTAACGCAAATTTCATGAATATGAATTGCTGCTTGTGCTAATTCTGGACCTACTCCTTCAGTTAACTCCCAAAAATCTATTAAGTTTCTCTTAAAATATTTAAATAATTCTGCATCATATGGATCGATTTCCCGTTTGTATTTTATTAACTCAGCTAAGATAGATATAGGTTTACAGTTAAATCATGCCTCATAATAATATTTGAGCTATTGTCCAATTGTGTCCAGGATAGATCAGTTACTATGTTATTAAATATAGTAAGTTTATGTTCAGGATGTAGGACAAAAGAGAGAATTAACAAAGGTTGTTCCCATTCTTTCTAGCGTGATTCAATGCATGCTTTCATTCTTTCTCCAAATTCAAAATCTTTATGATATTCAAACATTTTTATTATATACCCAAAACAGTGAAAAACTTCATACAATCGAGCTGTATCTTTTTGTAACTTATTCAAAAAGCCACAAAGAGAATATAAAAGTTCTTGTAGATTGGCTAATACTATCCAAAACTAAGCATCATATATAATATTAGCAATGTTATTAGGAAGTTTTCGATTACCATTATGTAGAGATGTTTGATTATTGGCTAGTTCAGATGGAATACTATTTGTTTGAATTACATTGCTACGATGGTCATTAAACTTGAATAAGAGAAACTAATAAAAAAAAATAAAAAAAATACTGATTTATAATGATTTGTAAATATAATTATAAAAATTCTATACTAATATTTTCTTATTTTTTTTACATACTTTAAGTGCAGCTTTCGATTTGAAGATAGAATAAAAACAAAAATAATATAAATTCCATCTTGTATCTCTAGTCATAAATAATGCGATAGACTTTTTATAAATATGTATTTGTTCATCTCTAAGATTGCCTATAAAAAAAATGATTTATGAAAAAAACAAACAATTCTTATTGCTTCCTTAGATATTCTTTGATATTGACTTGATTCTTTAAAAATTTTGCCAAATATTAAATTTGTTTGGTGGGCCATGCATGATAGAAAAACCTTTGAAGGATACTTTCTTTGTAATTTCTAACTATAAAAATAAAAAAAAATTATCAATAAAATTAATAAAATGATCTAAAATAAATATATAAATAAAATAAATTATTAATTAATAAAAATTTACCATGTGGCTGCATATTTACCAGCAGAATCAGAAATTAATGCCTTAATATTTATTTTTTTTTCTCAGTTTCAGTTATTAATTGTTCAATATGATTGATTATATTTTGTGTTTGTGATCTTTCAGAACTAATATCGTGTGTGCCCCATGTTAAAGATTGTCCATTTGTAGTTACAAGAACTACACCCCAAATTTGTTCTTGTCTTACATTTGTCCAACTATCAAATGTCACAGTTACCCCGTCTGAATCGCTCTTAGCAGTTTTAACTATACTGTTTTGTAATAATTGTGCACTTTTTATTAATATTTTGCCACTTATAAATTTGTATTTAGATAATTTTAATTCTGGCATTACGAATTCAAATACAGCAATAGTATTCTCATTTTTAACAAATGTAAAAGACAGTGCATTAGAAACAATTATTCTTAGAAGCAATTGTTCAAATCGTGATTGGTCATTAACTAAAAGAAGTCGATGCATAAAGTTTGAAATTGCAAACTGTTGGCTATCAGTTGATAAGCGGCTTGAAGCAGCTGAAATAATTGAATCTGCATGCAAATCTACAGACTCATTAGCATCAGATTCTTCATCTGTATTGAATATTGTAATATAAATATAAAAGGCTCTATTTAAATCTAAATTATAACTTTATGTAGTTTAAAATTTAAATATACCATTACTTTCTTTGCTCTTTTTTCACTTTTTTTTTCTTTTATCTTCTGGTACTGGTAAGTTTAAAATTTTTTGCACTTCTTCTTCAGTATTTGCTTCACAAAAAGCTTCACATCCTGATAAATGATTATAACATAAACGTGCTCTATTAACTGTACAACATTTTGGCATCAATTGAGCCGTTTCTAATCCACCATATTTTCTTATACACCAGTTACATACTGCAGGTTGTATATCAGAATCCCGACACACAAAATCCCGGCAACAAAATCCCAATACACAAAATCCTGACAAATTAAATTCCTAATTTTAATATTTTTAGAATTTTAATTTGTCAGGATTTTGTATATCGGGATTTTGTTGCCGGGATTTTGTGTGTTGGAATTTTGTGTGTCGGGATTCTGATATACAACCCATACTGCAATAGCATTCGTGGGATTGTTGGGATTTTTACATTAGTAAAAAAATCTCTAAAAGGATGAGGAGGAGGAGGCATAGCAGACGAATTTTCTTATAAGAAAAAAAAAAAAAAAACTAAAATTCAAATTATCGTGGGATTTACTAACAAAAATTCCATCTATAAAGTAATTATGCAAGAAAAAATAAACTTTTTAAATGTCATTCTCGATATAGTAAACTTAATTCGTAAACCAAGCTCAAAACCAGTTTACAGCATTTGACATGGGAACTTTTTAGACAAGTTTGACAAAAAAATAAAGTTGTATAATATTAACATTTTGATTGTCATAAAAAATTACAATACAGTGAAACTACTTACTACAACAAAAGATACACGTAAAGAGGTAACTAAAAATTTATTAAAAAGTCTTGAGTCTGGATAACGTTATAAACTAATAATATAATAATTGTAAATATCAATAATGCTTAAAAAGTTCAACTCGAAGTTTAATAAACTTACAAGTTTTCGAGACTGGGCAGAAATTTATTTAGCACTATAACCAAGCAGTACAAAGAACCACACGAAGATTTATTTACACAATTAGCTTAAAGTTAGACAATAATGCTTTATATCTATTCGTGTATTACAAATGCATGGGATTTTGATTGGTTAAAGTTTAGGACTAGTTTATGACCTATAACATTCAGTCATATGACCCAGGTCATATCACTCATATGACCACTGGTCATAACGTTATGACCTTATAACCTTATGACCAACAGTCATATGACTATATGGGGATCTTTGCTAGAAAAATGACCCTACGAGCCATTGTTACACAAGATTTTTATTAAGAAAAACATAATAAATCTAT